GAGAAGTTCCCACTTTTTATATCTGCCGTACCCTTTTCCGGCTGTACATGACCATTTTTCAGTGAATGTGCTTCTCTTTCCTCAAACAAAAGTCTATTTCAATCCTGGTGAAATGTTGTCCCTTTGCCACCCTTTTTCTACTTATGAATTTGTCTGTAGGCCATTCCCAAAGTGGGAATATTAAAATGTTCTTATCTACAGTAAAATTGTAAATGGGCTGATATAATAATGTCATGCTCATACTGTGCCCGCACAACATTGGGAGAACTGCTGCTTTTTCTTTCCTCATCCTTACTATAGTCATTTTCCTCGACTTTTGTAGTTTGAAATAGTTTGTCACTCTCTTGTGAACTGCTTTTTCCGGGGTGCCTTGATAGTCGAAGCAGACTTTGTGCTGTTGAGGCTAGAGAGGTGAGCAGAGTAAACCTGATTCCCCATTTGGGCTTCTCTGTTGACATCCACCCCTTGGAGCTCTCATGACCTTATGCAGTTGCGAGTTGCGAGCGCCGTAAAACCTTACTAAAACTAATAATTTTTTTCCTTTCCAGAGCACTGGTGATCAGGGGAACTGTCCCTACTCCTGCACCCCTTCTGTCTCCTGCAGTGTGCCGGCTCGGGGTCACTCGTGCGGACCCTATGGGTATCAAGTGTGCTGTAGAATCCGCAGGGATACATACGCCCTGCCTGTGAGTAACTCAGGGACTAATAATGATCATCCAAGACCGATGCACTGTCATGGGGGCCGCTCTTGGAGCCCCCCTCTCCCCCTGTTTGTTTGGGTTTTTTTTGTTTTTTGGGGGGAAAGTGTTTTGCAGCTCTTGCAACTACTGCATAAGGTCATTTTTATGAGTGCGCGGGACACATCAGACATGTTCAGTTTGGTAGGAAGTTTTGAATTTTGCCCGGGTGGCGACCGAAGCCTACTTGTACTCTTACCGATTTTAGTACCACCAAGTGATCTTTAACGTTCACAACTTGCATACGGGACCTCCGGGATTTTTCGTCCTTTTTCCGAGAAGGCTATGTGTTAGATCTTACCTACCCTAAGACCAGGGGTGTGGCTGAAAGACAGCAATAAGAAGGAGCCATGGAGCAACAGTAGAAAGGCTGCACAAAGACTCAGAAGCCCAGAGAAGGGGACAAAGGGGAGGGGGGGCAGAAAGTGGAGACGAAAGAAGACGACAGAACATGATTAGAGAGGGGGAAAGGAGGTGAAAGGAGAAAATTCTAGAGCAGAAAATAATATTTTCCGACGCTGTCAGGTTTTCAACCCAGGACCTAACGACTGAGAGGCGAACGCCATAACCTCTAGACCACGTCGAGAGCTCCCAGGCCAGGACACTCTGAGGACACTGTCATGGCAGCCGCTCATTGCGCTCCTGTAAAAAAAAACTTCGCGGCGTTGATGTACACAATGCCCTGTAATTAATATAAAAGGGCAATACACCTTAAGTCTCGATATTATGAAATGCGTCATCAACCTTCCCTTCCTTGACTTTCATTTGTGTCACGACGCAGGCGCTCGTCAATTTTGGGGCATGTAAAGTTATTGGTATCATTGGAGAGCTTGTCTATTTGTCTTGCTTTCGGTGAAAAAAACCCAATTCTCTTGAATAGAAGTCAAGATATTTGCGATTGAAGGAGGTGGGGGTCGTCTGGTTTCAGAGGTAACATTAAGGAGAAAATGGTTGACGAGCGCCTGAGTCACTAAGACACCTCACAAGCGGTTTCAAATAGTGTCAAATTGTGCGCTTCATGGTGAATCAGAATTACGTTAGGGTGTCTTGGGTATTACTGTATAATGGAAATCTATTGAGTATATCAAGAGACGCTTTAACTTCAACGCTTGCCACGCAGGAGGTCAGGCCGGTAAAAGTTAACGTGAGTCGTCCATTCGAAACTTACTTACCCGCGACTGGGGTCTCTTCTGTCAGTTGGGTCACATTTGAGTTTCATTCTCATGTGGGGAGGTTTTGTTTTGTTTCGTCTCTTTTTTATTTGTTTTGGGGTTTTGATTGTTTTTAGTGGGGGGGGGGGGGGGGGGTTCCTTGTTCGTTTGTTGTTGCTTTTTTTTTTTTTGCTTTGATGTGATTGTGTAGGGCGGTTGTTGTTTTGTAATCAAGTATCTTCGTCTGGCTGTTGGGACGTGGTTCCCTCTCAACCTGGGCTGGCCTTGGTAGGCACGGTCGAAGCAGCCCGCCTCGTAAATGATCTAAATAGTGCCGATGTGGGCATAAAACATCTGCAGTTTCAAATGCATTTCTTTTTACCAATAAGTCTTACATCTTTTTGTTAACTTGCTTCGTTTATTGTTGTTGTTTGTTTATTGTCTTGTTGTTGTTTTTTTACAGGCTTCTGTGGACGCCATTGAGCGTGTGCCTTGAGCTGTGGTCCTCTGTGAATAACAAGACAACGTTCGTGTATTGCAGAAGACTGCTGCACCATCTCCCATTATTATCTAATACATGTAATTACTCTAGATCTATAACAGTGTACTCGTCATAACCTCATTTAGCTTCCCGAGTTCTTCGTGTCTTTTTTGAGTGTGAGTGTGTTCGTAATTGAAAAACTGCCAAGCCAATTTCAATACAGGAAAGTTGCAGATGTTTTCGTTGGTGGCTTGGTTTTAACGGAGGAAGAACGCCAAAAAAAGTTGTGGGTTTCGAAACAATTTATTTTGTAGCGGCATCTGTTGTGGAGTGGTTAGATCTAGACGCTTCGTCGTCACAAGCTGAAGATCTGAGTTCGATTCTCACTCAGAGTGAATTGTTATCGATTATCTCGTTCTTTCTGCGGCGACGTTGTATACCCCTCAGACAAGGTTAGCTCTGAAAAACAGGGTCGGGGCCTGTCTCCTAAATGATATTATATTTTGTCCATGGAGACGTTGCACACACTACATTTAAATAAAGAAACAGCATGTTTGTTTGTTTTTTAGCTGTTATAGAGATTCAGTTCGTAGCTTTGTCTAAAAGACAACGACTGACAGATGCATTTAAGACGGTGTTTGCATTACAACAGTTAAGAAGCAGAGAAGAACGTTGAAAGAGAAATGAAAATAATGTGTGAAGGATGAGGCTGCCTGATTATGTGAAAAAGTACAGATATGACACACACATTGGCAATCAGGGTTTGTCATTCATTTCTCCGCTCGATTGCTCTCAAAAGGTCTTTCCACGTCACATCATTCATCTGTTCAGGTTTTCCAAGTCGGTTGTTCTGTGTCTACCCCTGCCTGATTTGCCTTCTATTTAACTAATGAGTGAAAGATGCCCAAGATCTTTGTATCAGTTCAACTGTCCAAGACACTGCATTTTGATAGATACCCTTAATCTACCTGACAGGTGACAGGTAGGGTTGACGAGTGCTCCTGAATTATCTAAATTGTGTTGATGGGATAGTAAGATATCGCCTATATTTTTTTTCACTTTTATGCCTTTGTGAATAGGTAACTAACCCATATCATTATGACGTTTCTGACTATTAACCCTTTAAACCTTCACCCCGAACCTATGGAATCAGTACATCTAAGACCCTGAGCACCGACCCCTAGATAAGGCCGCCGTGTGCCGAGGTGTGCGCTCGAATTCATCAGGTTACTAGATTTGTCTTTGATCCATATTGTAACTACTGAAGATGTTTGTATTTTGACTTCAATAAAGTGATTTCCATACTCTGACTGCTTTGCTTACTTGCGTTGTTTGTTCCATTCCTTTTTTGTTACATTTTCGGTTTTGTTTATTTATTTTTTGAGTCGTTGTTGTTGTTGTTGTTGTTGTTGTTGTTGTTGTTGTTGTTGCCGCGGTTGCCGCGGTTGCTGTTGCTGCTGTTGTTGTTGTTGTTGTTGTTGTTGTTGTTGTTTGGTTGTTATTGTTCAAACTTTGGAAATATACTCTTGATTGTTTTGCAGATGATGATCTGACGGGAACACCTGTAAAATAATATAATACTCTTCGAGCGTACCAGAAAATATGTTGAAAGGAGGTTGACTGGGGTCTGTTGTGTGGAGATTTGACTTCTCGCCGTTGCACGTAGACTTCTATTCCCGTGTGGACTCTGTTTTTGTAGAGTATCTCGGTCTTTCTACTTGAACGTAGTATCCTTCCCAGTTCAGTTTGGCCCCAACAGGAAGGGTACAACAATTACCACCTGGCAGTGCGAATGACTAAATCAGAAGGGTCTGAATCTTCTTGGAATCTCTGATATGATAGCCTATTATTTCCCCTTGCCCTGGCGCCAAGTTGGGAAACAAAGTCCTATACTTCCAAAACCACCTAATCTGTGTCTAGTAGTTCGGGCATATCCTACAACAGAAAAAAATCAGTAACTTTAATCTCGATTATTTGTGGATCAAATTTTACCAATTTTCACGCAACATGCAGAGGGAGGAGTCTTCAAATCTGCAAATAAATTTTAGAAAAAAGTTTCTTTGACATGAAGACCGCAGCCATATTGAGTTTTGTTGACATGTCTTATATAATTGATACCCCGGTTATTTTCAATGAAATTAGGATGTTATTTTGTATGCATGTTAGCAAACAGAAGCTCTACAAATTAGTCAGTTGAATTTTGCCTAAAGTGGTTAGAACATTTATCAATGATTTTTTTTTCTTGAGACAGTATTCAAGGTTGTAAAATAATAGTGGAAGCCCACATTCCAGACACCACCAACAAACATTTATTACACATATTGATTTTGAAAATTCAATGCATCATTTTTATAGTGTAACATCTTTTCTTCATTCTGTTAATATTTCATGACGATTGGGAGAAAAATGGTGGAGTTATTCAAAAAGTATAAAGCAAAACAGCATTTTGAGAAAATGGAGAACAAAAAAGAGTGACTGTATAAGGAAGTTGTGGTGACTAAAAGCCTGAAATATTACAAAAGAAGGCTTTGGGGGGGGGGGGGCTTCTTATGGGATGAAATAGTTGTAAGAGAGGCTGGGGACGCCAAAAATACCTACATCTCAAAGCCCATAATTTTGGCCCAAATCGGAACTTTCAGCTGCTGCCCCTTAGATTCTAGATCTAATTAATCAAAAATGAATAAACGCAAGAAATGACCAAGCAGTGCACTACAGGTTAGGTAATCCATACTCACAAAGTCAGTTGTATTTTTCTTGCATTAACTCCCTTGACTCAAGCTTTGCACTTCCCTCAACCAAAGAAGCTGGTGAAATGATAATAGGTTTAACGCCCCTATGCCTCTATTGGGTTATTTAAGAGGCGGAACCTAAAAGTTTAATGTCCATCTCCGAAAGGACCGAGCCTAGAGGGAATTTCGTGTAAAGTGCCTTTCCCAAGGACACAACGTCGGACCGAGCTGTAGCTCGAAGCCCCGAGCTCGCAATATCACGATTACCAGCCCCGTAGCCTTACCACTAGGCTAATGACGCCACCCAAGGCAAGGTTATAGCAACAAAGGAAGTTATGTCCGGGAAACAGAACGTGCTAATTTTTAGGATATTGAAGGTCTTCACCAGTAAATGATAGAAGAACTGTAACAGTAGAAACGTTCCAAGGCGGCTTCCCATTTTTAAAATGTTATTTATTTACTTTTTATAAAATCGTTATTTTATTTTTACATTTATGTAATGTATTTGTTTATTTATTCTTTAAATACATTTATGTATTTTATTTCATTTTTTTTTATTTCCTGGGGGGGGGGGGGGGGGTCCCCTTTTTCGGGTTTTTTTTGTTTGTTTGTTTGTTTGTTTTTTGGGGGGGAGGGGGGGGGGGGTAAGTGTTCTACTATGCTCGCAACTGCATAATGTCAAATGAGCGCAAGGGACACATTAAACATTTTCAGTCGGTAGGAAATTTGGAATTTTGTCCGAGTTGCGGCCGAGGCCTACTCATCGATTTTGGACCACCAAGGGATCATTAGCTTGCGGAACTTGCACACCGGACCTCCGGGATTTTTTGCCCTTATCCGAGATGGCTAGATCATGTAGAATTTACCTACAATTAGATCAAGGCTGTGGCTGAAAGACAGCAGTAAGTTGAGTAAGAAGAAGCCACGGAGTAGCAGTAGAAAGGCTGCAGAAAGAGCCAGGAGCCCAGAGAAGGGGGCAAAGGAGGTGAAGTGGTGGGGACAAAAAGTGGAGACGAAAGCGAACGACAGAACATTGTTAGAGTTAGAGAGCAGGAAAGGATGTGAAAGGAGACAATTTTAGAGATGAAAATTTTCCAACCCTATCCGGATTCGAACCCCGGATCTATTGAATAAGAGGCGAACACTTTAACCTCTAGACCAAGAGAGCGCTCGGCCATCCATTGTCGTGAGGAACAGTGGTTTATCTTAGATAGGTGGATATCTCGGACATTATCATTACAATATAGAACACACAAACTCAATGAGGGAAGAGGGAAACGGCCGCTTACGTTGGTTATTGTTTTGGACAGGCGGCCTTTAGAGCAGGTTCCACTGTATTTCTTCCACTTACTCACTTTACCATGCTAGCTACTAACAGGCATCTTGCAAGGTTTATAGCTTCTCCCTCTCCTTGTATGTTAGATGTCATCATCAGGTCATACAGGGGCGAAGCGTCGACATTACAAATAATAACTGGTTCCCTTCCTTAATCTGAGAACATCATCCTAGTCTGATTTACCCACAGGTGGCACCAATTTACAAGCAGTTTGCACTACGCTCGAAACTTCTTCATTGCCCCATAAATATCCTATTCAGGACACTCACATACAATAATATTATGAAATCAGAATTTGTTTTCACGCCAAGGACTTAGAATGGCCTATATTTAAACAACCTCATTTCGTTCACAACACAGTGATGCCACCTCGCATAAATAAGAAGTTTTGTTAAATATGTTCCTATTGCGTCAAAACATTCCGTGTGTGGCCTCATCTTTTTCTGGTTCTTTGTCTCACTTTGATTACCTTGTCAAACAAATTGGTCATTCTTCGCCCCTGAGTTCACAATGGGCGAACAATTACATGTATAAAAGCAAGTCAAATAGATTTGGTTTAGCAAAAGGTTAACGACCTGCTGATCACGCAATAGGAGGTCATTCGAGGGAAGGACACACCTTACGCTTGCAATCAAGTTGTTCTAAATCCCTATCTCTAACTGCGTAACACCAAAAGTGCAGCGGCTCTTGGTTTTAGACAATGGCTAGAATCCTGACCTTCAGACTGTTTCCTTTCTTTGTAAAAACAATTTTACGATCAGAACTAAACTCTGAAGACGTACTGCACTCATGGAATGGACAAACTAAAGATCCTCTGCTGCACGCCATAGGGACTCCAACTCCACTCTGCCCCACCTACCAAAAAGTTGAAAATAAAAATCTACCCACATCTGAGTGTGTATGTGTGTGTGTGTGTGTGTGTGTGTGTGTGTGTAACATACAGAGAGAGAGAGTATGTTTTTGCGTGTGTGTGCGCGCGCGCATGCGCGATTGTACGTGCATGTATGTGTGTGCGTGGGTGTATGTATATGTAGGCTATATGGGTGCACCAATGTATACTAAGCAGAGAAGAATATCTCTTACAGAGAAACAGAAGAATAAATAAGGATCAAGATTTGCGGCTTTTGCTACGGCCAACGAGCCTCATTTTGGTAGAGAAGAGTTTGCCACATTTTGGACGTTTTCAAAAGTTTCATTTCCACTTGAGAGTGTGCGTAGCTTGCGAGCGTCCCTCTTGGTACCAGCGTAATGTTTGCAGTATGCAATGATTTAATTCTGAATGCCAAAACAGAAAGACTGTGTACCAACGCCCACTGTGCTGAAATTCCATAAACTCACTCCATTCCAACCAACGACAAATCATTGGTGTGCTCTTCCGTCCTTTGTTCAGTTTCTTCCTCATGCTTGTGAAAAGCTTGAATGAATCGAGAAATAGCTTTCGATGGATATATTATAAATGTCGGAAGAGAGCTCAACTTTCGGTTACTAACTTTTTACTTTTCCCTTCCTCTGGTATCCTAATGATGTCGAGGGGCCTCTTTCGGTTTCTGGGATAAACTTAGTACGGTCGCTGACCTCTCCCAATACACAGACCTGTCAAGTAGTTAGAAAACCCTTAAGACATGGGGAAATAGCAAAATCTATACTGCTTATCTGAATAAATCCAATAAATTCTCATGAGTAGCATTAACTTCGGTGTGTAACCTTTACCTGCTTTGCTCTACTTTTCTCGTTTCTTTGTTCTCCTAACTACCTCAGACAATCAGCTCGTTTCTTTAGTCTTTGTGCTTCTAATCGCTGCAGGCAATCGGCCACACACTGCAACAAAGAAAGCGTTTAACTCAGAGACCGAATTTAACCTAACCAAACTGTTTCCTTGTCTCCTCCGTTCCTCTCCACCCCCCATCCCAACCCCCTTCCAAAAAAGAAAACTCACAAAAAAACGTACGAAACATAACCAACAAGGGCACACACACACAC